TTAGAAAAGGGAAGAGCTGCTGAGAAGATACACTGGCGCGCACAACAATACTGCCCCCGACCTGCTCATCCTTGTCTAGTGCAGGAACCTCATTTGGCGTATCCTCGGCAAACTGCAAACCGTCCCGTTCAGGTTAGAGCGGTGGAGACTGCAGTCCAGATTCCTAGAAGGAGACCAAATGAGTGTTGGAATTGCGGCCAGACGGGTCACAGACGATCCAATTGTCCTCAACTGCACCGCTTACTTTGTTTTTGACGCAAGCAGCCAGGTTATACTATTAGAAGTCCAGAGTGCTCAAAAAAAGAGACTCAGTGGAATTAAGTGGTCGGTTAATGGAACCTGTGAATGTTTCGACGACCGATAATGTACACAATTCAGCTTTTCTTCAGAAGCAAGCCTTAGTTGATTACGTAATATCCCATTTAAATCAGGACCAGAGACCGCATATAGAGGTTACCGTTTTGGGGCATCCCATTCTGGATTTGTTAGGCTCTGGGGGTAGTGCCATTTTAGTTGGGGAGTCAGGTTATAAGACATTGATGGATTGATTGAAGTTGAATACCTCTCGAAAAACGTTGTGCTTTGTTGAGAACGGAAATCGGGATTTTTAGATTTCAATGGATGTAGTGTCAAATTTAAAAAGGCACGAGTGGCGTTTTGGAGAAAACCATATGGTAGAGGTTTGCGGTATTGCGGACGAGAGCACTTTGACTGACGACCAACGAGAAAGATTGAACTCTTTAGTGGGTGAAAAATTTGAAAGAATGAGCAAAGGTTTGGGGTATACTACAGTGGCGACTCATGAGATTGTCTTAGAGGAGAACTTTAAGCACATTAAACAGCGATATTATCCCGTTTCACCCTTCAAGCAGAAGTTAACAAAATGCTTGAAATGGTCGTCATTGTGCCTTCTAAGAGCGCTTGGCCTTCACTAGTACTTCTTATGCTCAGAGAGGACAACGCCTATCGATTTTGTGTAGACTACAGGGCACTTAACAAGGTTACCAAGAAAGACGCTTACCCTCTACCATATGTTTCATCAATTTTGGGCAGGTATTTAAGTTCAATGGATATTAAGTCGGCATTTTGGCAAGTTGGAGTGAAGAAGGACTGTCGAGAGTATACGCATTTATTGTACCGCAATGGGGACTTTTTCAGTTCAAGCGAATGCCGTTCGGGCTTACTAACGCACCGGCGACTTGGCAGAGGCTATCGATGCCAGTCTCGGCTCGGACGATATTATAATAATTTCTACCTACTTTGAAAAGCATTTAATCATTTTGGGTAAGGTATTTGATCGCCTAATGAAAGCAGGTTTAACATTAAGCCCTGGGAAGTGTAAGTTTTGTATGCCCTTCCTTAATTATTTAGGATTTTTTTTTTTACTCTAAAGGTCTTCATGTAGATGTCAAGAAAAGTTGAAGCCATAATGAAAGTTCCTTCGCCCAAGAATATTAGAGATCAGGAGATTCATAGGTATGGCTGGTTGGTACCGAAGATTTGTGCCAGATTTTTCCACCCTGATCGCGCCGTTAACCAAATTCAATTGCCTCAACATGTTAACATGTCCAAACTTCTCGAAACCGTTTGTCCTTCAGAGCAACGCTTCTGCTTATGGACTTGGCGCTGTTCTGACCCAAGAATCGGACGACGGAGAGAAGGTAATCTGCTTTTTGTCACGTTCATTGACAAAACAGGAGCGTAACTATTCCACTGAGTGAGAGTGAGTGAGTGTTCAGGCGTCATTTGGGCTGTCGAAAAACTGCGCAATTATCTTGAGGGGAGTCATTTTACTATTGTCACGGACCATGCATCACTCATTTGGCTTAATAAACTGGAAGAATCAACCGGAAAATTACGCAGATGGGCTCTTCGTTTGCAACCATATGATTTTGACATCGTACACCAAAAATGGAAGGACAATGTCGTTCCGGATTTTCTTTCCAGGAGTGTCGCGATCAAAGTGTCCATTACAGAGCGCTACTTCAAGCGCCCTGTGTCGTTTCGTAGTGCCTCAGTTCCTCATTTGCGACAATGGCAAACGGATGAGAAGCAAAGAATTTAAAGCCCTGTGTTCCAGACATGTGAAAATCTCGTTTACCGCATATTACCACGCGCAGGCGGATCCTGTTGAGCGGTACAATAAGATTGTGAAGACTACGGTTTCCATCTATTTAGGAGAGAATCACAAAGAATGGGACAAAAAACTTGCTGCAATTGGATGCGCTTAAGAATCTCTCAATGTGAAACCACCGGTTATACCCCATACTTTATCAATTTTGGACGAGAATATGTCGGAGATGGTAGCGAGTATCGTTTTATGTTTAACAATGGTAACGATGATTGAGTTTAAGTACAGACCGAGATGAAAGAACGCGTAATAGGTTAAAGAAAACTTTTTGAGGATGTCAAAGCCCGTATAGCTAGAATGGCGGACCGATCCCGTAAAATATACAATTTTCGTAGGAGACCAGTTCACTATCAGGTCGGAGGCCAGGTTTGACGTGTCGAACAACCTCAAGGCTAAACTTTGTCCAAAATCTATAGGCCCCTTCATGGTTAAGCGTAGAATAGGAGGTTGAACGTATGAGTTGTTGGATAGTCAGAGAGTTAGTCATAAGAAATATTTGCAAACGAAAACTCATCCAGATTACATTCTTTTATCTGATCGTAGAAGCAAACATAAAATAGAAACAGAAAATTGTCACACTAATTATATTAAACCTGATAGTTATAACCTGAAAAAAAATTCTGCACATTTCTGAAGATATGTTAATGATAGAAGAAAATGGAATATACTATCCAATCAGTTTAACAATGATTCTGCAGACAATTCAGAACAAATCGTTGATCTGACTGTACATGATCAAAAAACTTGTCCAAAACCTGATGCTATTTCAAATCCCGAAGGTGATATTTCTTCATAGAATATACAAATTTCAAACATTTATTAGAATATCAGCCAATTGAAAAACTCATTATCTATGGGCCCTGATAAAATGCCAAATTACATTTTTTAAAGCTTGCGCGTTTAAAATTTGAAGCCATTTACATATCCTCATCAATTTATCTTTATGGACAACTATATTTCCATCTATATGGAAATAAAGTTATCAACCTAATACAAAAATGGGGAGAGCAAGAAAATGTGACAAATTAATTAAGTATATCTAAGTAAGCAGTCGACGGTACCTAAATTATTCGAATATATTAGTTTATATTATATTAGTTTACAATCAGCTAAATTGGCAGTGTAAAGTCTGTAGAGCAACATGGATTTGCAGCAAGCAGATCTATGATTACTAATTTAGCAATTTACTAGATGACTCTGTTTTATGCTTTGAAGAAGAGGGGGTAAGTGGACTTTTTCAAGGTCTTTGATAGATTTATTGCTTTTAAAATTATACAATTTAAGTGTTTTATTTTGCAGTCTTTGTAATTTATTTATTCTGCTAGGCTATGCTTGTGTTTTCCCAGCATGTTAACAAATATCTCCGGTGCGGCTCTACAAAGCCACAGCTACTAAGCTGTCTTGTTTTTTCGATAAGTTTATGAGAACATCTTTATACTGCACCTAGCATTACAGGTAGGTATTTATATTTACACCATTTTTTGAGTGCCGCTTCATTTATTTTTATATTTAGGTTACAAAGTGCTATCCCTGTTTGTTTTAATATCATATAAACTGTTTTTTTCGAAGTTTAAGGAGTTTGTTATAGCACAGCCATTCAAAGTACTGCTTTAAATCTTTATTAACAAGTTCTTCAAGCTGCTTCACACCATCACTCAAGTGAATTAGTGCAGTGTCATCAGCAAATTTGGAGTACTTTGCTTTTAAGCTTTGCATGTTCTAGGCTATGTATATACAGCAAATACCATACTGGCCCCAATACTGATCACTGGGCAATGCAGATGTTGGAAATAAGTAGTTCTCTGCTTTCACTATTTGTCGTTGTACAGGGCTTTCTGGTTGTAGAATAAGATTTATTTGGTAACACACCCCATGAAGTCCCATTTTATTTATTATTTGTTCTTCTCCGATTCATAGGACATAAATTGTAGCATATCAACGACAGATCCACGTGTACTCCTTTTGCTTTGAAATCCATATTACCGGTTGTCAAATTTAATTTTAGCTTCGATAGGTTTCATTCATCTTGCCTTAATAATTTTTTCCAGTCCATTGGACAAATAGGGAGGTTGATCGGTAATTGTTCATTTGGTCCAATGTTGTTGATTTTTGTTTGCAGATCTCTTTTTATCACAGCATCGATGCCTGTCGCACAATTATTTTTCTAATGATTTAATCGTTTCCTTTATTTCTAGAATCGTTGCTGGTTCCAAAATATGCTACCTACGACCTCTTCTTTTTTAAAATTGGTGTTCAAATGTTGCTTTATTTTGTAAAGTTTTTCCAACTTTAGAAAATTGTATATTAAATTCTTTAGCTAATCCTTTGTCGTCATTAGTCGGTTGTCCAGCTGCATTAATTATTTGATGTTTTTTTGTTTTTATTTTACTTGGTGTTTGTTATTTCATTTAAAATCTTCCATGTCTTCTTAAGTTATCTTTTGTTTTGTTAAATTTCTTTTCAGCATACTGTATCTGGTGCTAATTTATCTAATTCATTTCTTGCTTTTTTAAATTCGTTAATATTTTTCCACTTAATGTGTAGCTTGTCTTTTTCCTTAAGTTTGGTTAGATATTCTTTAGTTATCCAAGAATTATTTATTTTATTTTCAGTGTGCATATTTTTGTACATGTTTTCTTGGTGGTCGTTATTATTTCAGCTAGTTGTTGAAACGTGTTTGGTTCATTTTGCTGCATTTTTTCTAGCATACTGCATTTTTTGTTATTATTTTAACATATATATTTTTTTCCTTTCTGGAATAAGTACTAATTTTTCATATCTTTATGACATGTAATATTTATGCTTCTAAGAGGGAGAAAAAAAACTTTCAAAATTTAAAAAGTATCATTGCAAATCTCCGGACACATACCTGAGTTGTTGGCCCTGGCTTCTTGAACTAGTCGAACCACGTCGGGTTGTAAGGCTTGAGTGACGTCATGGCCGTTTATTGCTAGGATCTGATCACCCTCGGAGAGTCTGGGTGTACACCTGTCCGCAGATGTATTAGGTGCTACGCGGGATACCAATATCGGAACACTGGTCTCAGTCCCACCTGAAATCCATTTGTCCTCATCTAAATTTACTTGCGTAAATAAATGAAAGTTTGGGAAGTTGGGAATCGCTTTAAATATCTTGGTATATACCAATGAGGGTATTAGGGAAACAGATGGTTCAGGAAATTTGAAAAAAAAAAAAACATACCGGAAATTAATTTTCAGTTATCTTGAATTTGTTAGCTCGGTTTCTACAAAAATTTCCAATGGGGACTATTTTAAGACCTTTTCTTAAATATGAGATTGAAGAGATTCCTGATAGTGTCACCAGACAACAAAAACATTATCTACATATATCTTTCACAGTTTCGGTTTTAGATGGAACTTGTCAATGGCTAGTTTTTCAAAATATTTCATAAGAATATTATTAATGACAGTGAATATGCCTTATTTATAGTTATGATGATTAGCCTTCAACAATTTGATTAGCTGACTAAAACTAATTATTAAGTTAAAAAATGGTGATAATAAATTAATTGAAATTGCGCAAGGGTATCAAGACACCAGCTACTGCGACCAAAGTATTTGTCAAAAAAAGGGCAAACAATAAAAGACATATTTTTGATTGTAAATTTTCTAAAAATAAAGTAAAAGCATCCACATGACTTTCGAGATGGTAATGAGAGAGTCAAGTAAGGGTAAAACAATTTTGTGAAATCCACATCTACATATCTTTATTTATTTAAGGTCAAACTTTTTTCAGGTCTCTTACAGGTTTTTTAATAAATAAAGATATGGAGATGTGGCATTCACAAAATTGTTTTACCCTAACTTGACTCTCTCATTACCATTTCGAAAGTCATGCGGATGCAGAAAACGCCACAGAAGCAAGCACGACTTATTTTCGCTTTTAACTATCAACCGCAAGCACAGCAGTCAAACTCTCCGATGAAAAGATCTTCCTGTCTTCCAAAAAGTGTAAAATCAAAGTCCATAGACCACACAACCAGCGTTGCAATCCTCGATTTGTCGACAGGTACAGAGCTACAGGCCATTTGAGTGTAAATGTGACTAGGAGTGGTATGGCGGATTGAGAAACGATTTGTTAGTCCAACTTATACCGAAATATTCCAGAACTTTATGGTGACTGATTTGGAACAGCTTTATCCTGACAATAATTATATTTTCCAACAAGACATCTGTTGGGTCAACATTGTAAATATTGAGTAATAGTCCTGAGATCAACCCAAGTCGAAAAAATATGAGGCATAATGTTGAAACGGTTATATCGAAGAAATTCCTCAAAGCAACGAGGAGCTACGGCAAGGTATTCAGGAAGTATGGGATGAAATGTCGCTTAAAGACAACTTCACAACTCCTCCAGATGGAGATTGCACAAAATATTAAATTCCTTCCAAGTGTTTCTTCTTGTCCTGTATATGTTAAAATGTGCTGATAAGGATCAACCATTTCCTAAATTTTTTACAATTGTTGCATTTACCTAGGTCTAATTATTTTAAAGTTGTTGATTTAAAAGTGAAAAATGATTTTAATTTTAAAGTAAATAAAAGTTGAGCCTGTTTAGTTTTTTAATGATAACGAGAACAACCAACGATAAACAATAAAATTGAACAAAATACTGAATACTCTAATACCTATTTTATATAAAATATAATATACATTTTTTTCAAGATTTCCTCACAAATTTACTTTTTTAATGATAACGAGAACAACCAACGATAAACAATAAAATTGAACAAAATACTGAATACTCTAATACCTATTTTATATAAAATATAATATACATTTTTTTCAAGATTTCCTCACAAATTTACTAAAGAGGAAGTCTCTCATTGGTAACAATAATTAGATCCCATATTGGATGTCAGAACAAACTAATTAGAAGGGCAAATACGAAGACGCAGAAATAATCTAAATTACCATATTCAGACTCGCCACTAGGTTTGCGGACAACCTTAGGAACTACTTGGCATCCGATGTTTAATTTTTTAAGTTGGACAACTATTTACTTATTAACAATTGAGTTCTGAAAAATGTTTTTTTTTTACTTGCAGCAGAGATTATCTATTAACTGTTGTTTCAGTGACTCAGTTAATAAACAAAAAAGCCATATCTAAAATGTCAATGAACAATAGCAGATCATATTGAACCAGCCTCTTACCCAGGCAAAAGAAGCGTTTTGGATCAAAACCTATTTAATAAATTAATTCGTTTATTTTTTCAACTATTTATTCGAAATGACCTAGAAGAAGAAATCGTCCAATCGAAATCCCGATCATGATAGCTGATACATGATTTTTTTCAAAATTTGATACTCTCATGGGCGAGAAGTTTTTTGTTTCAAAAAATCGCTGTAGCTTTATGAACATTAAAAAATGATTTTGGCAGGAATGCATAGTAGTCAAACTGTCTCGTCTGAGCAAGCGGCACGCCTTAAGAAACAAACAACGCGCCGCAAACCGTAAAATAAGCGAAACGGGGGATCTCAAATCCTTAAGAAAAATTACCTTTAACGTTAAAACCGTATTTTCCGTCTTCGTCAGGATATATCACGATCGTGACGAGGTTTTCTTCGATTTGAGACGTCGGGGAGTGACTCGCGCTGTAAGGGGGCGTGTCGTACAGGCCGTTGGAGGTGGGAGAAGGTATCTCTTCGTCTGCGTAACTAATTACGCGTCCTGCGATACCGGGTGAGAAGGGACCTTCCAAAGTGCGTTCCAAAAACCCTCCGTCGCTAAAAATGAAAGAATAAAATTGTGGCGGAAAGAGTAAATTTGGCGAACTAGTTTAAATTAAAAATAAAATCCACTTTCTTATGTGGTTTTGTGTTGAAAATACGCCAACCATTAAATAAACTCTTGCAACTAGAAATAAACATTTGTACTTTCTTAATTCATTGAAAACATCACTAAGATATGTAAACATTTTCACATAAAATATTTAATTTACAATATAAATATACTAATGTTATATATTTTATGTTCTTGATAAAGATCTACATTGATCGTAACGTTGAATAAAACTTAAAAAATTAAAGAACTTTGTCATTATTGAACAAGCTCAACCCAAGAACAACTCAAGTATTACATTTATTTATTTATTGTTATTCACTAATAATAGCCATTACTGACCGACCACTTTATTCGTCACAAATCCATAAACTATCATCATAAAAGGCCTTAAAGAAAATGAAAATTATATAAAAGATAAATGAAAAAAAAAAAACAACAAACAAAAAACAGTTATCGCCAGTTCCAAGACCTGATTCAACATCAGACAGAATTAATGAGAAATTATGTGTATGTAATGACCCCAACCATATCCATACATAGAGCTTGATAGAAAACAGAGCCTTTGTCCAACCAAGAAAAGATTTAAAGTTAAACGCAAATAATGCTTACTCGTCTGATAATCTCGATTCTTCGGTCCAAGCTTGTTTGGGCTCCTTTGTATCGGTGGTCGTGACTCGGTGAGTATCGTGAGGGCGGGTCGGTCTGGGCGGAGGCGCCACTAATTTTCCCTTATCTTCCAAAGGTGGAGGCAGAGATCGATCTCTTATCTGATATAACGAAAATAATAACCTGTCAATTGAGCTTCGGTAGGTAAGTGAAGTCAGGTAAGTGAGATAGTAGAACATTAAATACTTTGAAAAACAATTATGCTCCAGGAAAGATTATGATTAATTCAAAAATATTGTTTTTACACTTACTTATTGTTCACACTGTATGTCACATAATTGGAATGATAATTTGAGCTTAGTAATGTCCCCTCTCAGTTTAAAACATCTATATTCTCACCTATATATCACTACCTCAATACTAAAAGCACATTACTCTAAATGAGCAATTTTGAGATAATGAGGCTTAAGATATTTTTTGGCATTGTCAAAGTCTATCAAGCATAAATTATAAGAGTTATCAAATAGACATTTTTTCCTACGCCACTAATGCAAAAATAGTACCTTTATTCATATGCCAAATTAAATTTTGAATTTGAAAATATTCCTCTAGTTGTAGAAATATATTCCCAGCAACAAGTTTTTTATAATCATATACAGTCGAACTTCGATAACTCGAATTTTTGATAAGTCGAACCAAATTGGTTGGCAATAGCGTCAAAAGTAGGAAATGCGTGTTAGTTTGTCTTGACTACTCGAACTTCGATTACTCGAGTACCTTGATAACTTGAACGAAACATTTGGTGCCAATTTCGATAAGTCGAATTTTCTCGGGGAACCCGCTAATTACGACCGATCTTAACCTGTTGACTTACTAGTTAATACTAAGTGAAAAATACTGTCCCTATTCAATTTACACATTATATTAGACATTTTTGGATTTTTGCATTTGTTGATATGTCATCAAAACGTACTTGCCTACTTGCAAATTGCAGTTCGACTTATTGAAGTTCGACTGTATTTCATTAATAATAATATCATGAACTGCATAGCGCTTGTCATCTTTCCTTCTCTCGTGGTCACTGTCTTTACAACATACTTAAAATTTATTACGTCGATTTCTTTCTTGTACTCCTTCTATTTTTCGAATACCACATCAATCAGTAAAAATGGTTACTTCCGTGGTGGACTTTAAATATTTATTAACATAACTAGCAATGTCACAACTCACAATGGTCTACAGTCACCTTGTCTAGTTAGAACAAACGTTCACTGTGATGTTATAAGTTGCCAATCTTTTTTTTATAAAAAAGCGCATTTATTGGTTGAATGGAACGGAACTAGTAACATCTATTGAAGCAGCCTTGAATTGGTCATTGATTGCCTTTTTCCACTTTAGCTATATAGAAGTGTAATAATAAATAAAATTTTTCTTTTCAACAATGGAGCCATTATGATAAAGAACACTGGTCCTTTTTTGGACGATTAAAATCCAAGTTACAGTTTAGGTTAAACAGTTTTGCCAATTACCCTGTTGGCTTCTTCCAAGCTCAGCTAAAACGGGCTTGCATTCTATTCCATACCTGAATAGATATTGCCTGGGTGGGCGGAGCTAAAGAGAGTTATAAAAATAATCTCGAATGACTGATTTCCATATTGGTACAAAGCGGTTAGGATCGTATGTTTGTAAGATTTTTATAGATCCACGGATTTTCCTTTGGTAGAGCTATTAACATGGAAAATTTTAGTTTCGTCGAATAAGTTTTAATGTTCGGTTTAATAATTGTGTTCGGCAACTGCTGATGGGTCTATTTGTCATAGTCTTAAGGATCTTTCACGTTTTTTTACCATAGTTGACATTATTCATCCTCTTTCTCCAGTAGTATGGAATGCTGTAAACTCCTAGTATCCCAAATGGAATTTTGTCTTTGAAGGATCGAAGATGTTGGGATATTGGACAAGCGGTAAATCTAGTTTTAATATTATATCTCTTGAAAACTTTTCATACACAGTCAGTGATGTTTTAAATTCAAGACAATTCCACTCTCTAGTGGCCATTTCTGAAATTCAAAAATAATTTTCAACATTTTCTTTTGGTTGACTTACGTAATAATTTTTTTTTCAAATTTCTAGAACCATCTGTTTCTTTAATACTGTCGCCCTTACTAAGACAGCCGCTACATATAAAATATTTTTTTACGTGTGAAAAAAATATATTTCATTAAGATGATTTAATCAGAATATTAAAAAATCAAAACTTTATAATTTGTCCCTTTTTTCGTTGCATCAAATGAGTTATATGATTTTTGTAATTCTATTATGCTAAGATTTGTATGACAGAATTCTGAGCAGTTTGTTTACTAGCGATTTTAATTCGACCAAAAACCATATAAGAAGATTAGAGGTCCCATATCTTTTTATGAGAAAAATAGACACACTCATTAATATTGATTGTTGCCTCAATTGTGTTATCAAGATTTACCACAACACTGCATGCCCTATCTTACTGGGCCTGACCAAAAATATAAACACAAAATAATTAAACATAATAGAAAACATACATTATAAAAATTGTTCTTTACCAGCTGTTTACTGGGAGATCTGACAAACTTCCTCTCCAGGATGCCGCGTCTCTTGACGTCCGACACCGTCTGATACTCGGTCCTGCCGGAATATGTGAATTTGGAGCCTAGCGATAACGGAAATTTTCTCTTTACTTTAGGCGAATGCAGCCTGAAGAACGTGTGGTGCTCAACGCAGGCTTTCCACAATGCTTTCGAAGAACGGTACTCTTCCATGTTGAATCCCAGTAGGGTATCATAATTTTCAGACTATAATAAATAAATTTTAATTAAAGATAAAGTGTGAGGAGTTATATAAATAATAATGCTAATAAAAAAAACCGATGTAGCAGCTACTCTCACAAAATATGTTTTTTTTTTTGTCAAAGAAATTTATTCAGAGGCCTTACATGTTACACAGAGCTATAGTTTGAAATATTTAAAATATTTGAAACATACCTTACAATGATAAATTTACAACATTTAAAAATATTTTGCTAAGATGCAAGATGGCTTTTTTCCCGACATTTCCACAGTAACCAAACCAATTGGGTGTGATAACGTAGTAAAGGTATTTTTTAAGGTTGATCATGAAGCTCTGATCAACAAGTTGAAAGCGTTTGGTTTCGTTGGAGTGCCTGTACACTGATGTTTGCTGAGATTTTATCCAGAAACCAACAGAGTCATTTATGGTTAGTCTTACATAAATAGTGTTAGTGTAAACAAGATGTTCCCAAGTGTGAGCAAATGTCAGGTGATAACTTCTAATAGGAATCTAGGAGAGGAGAGCGAGCAACACTGAGGACTATAATTGGAAACTCTAAGTGATTTGAGATAAAGGCTGTCATCAGGCTATATAATGCATTGGTCAGAGCACATTTAGAATGTGTCTGTTTTATTTGGACACCACAGGCAGACGTTAATTGTGACATAATATTAATAACAATAATAATAATAATACTAAATTTATTTAGCACTTGACTATTTACATAAGCAATTAAAATTTCTAGTTTTTACCACAGAAACATTGAAGTGCTGATTGGACTGTATATTATACTCATGAAAATTTGACCTTTTTTTCAACCATAATTTGAAATGGTTAGTGATCATGCGCAATTCCATAAACCAAAATTGTTCTTCTAATGAACTGCCCGACATTTAGTCAATTTAGCTAACATGCTCTTTACAGTTCAGTATGATTCTCATAACCCTATTTTGTTGTAACTGTAAGTTATTTAAATCTTGTTTTATACAAGACATAAGCACTGAAATTATACAAAACCCAATTTTCTTACCAATCTTTTTACAAGATGATTACTAAAACATAATTGTGGACGTAAGATCACCCTTAAAAATTTAATTACGAAAAATCAATTTTATTACCCTGTATATCCACTGAATACCCCAAAGTCACAGAATTTTTGACAGTTAACTGTAGATTCGATAACCATGCATTTGGTTTTAGTGTTATTTAATTTGTTTATTTTGGCATAACTATTCGTAGAAATACTGCATTTCGGTATTCAGTTTGGTAGCTGGTATGTCTAATTTTTCGTTAACGGAGTGAATGCATCATGCCATCAAAAAACCAACACTCATTAGAACAATCGTTGATTACCTTTATAACACTGTCTGTAACTTAGACACATTGCAAGTGAAAAATTCGATCACAAAACATACAAGCTCTTTGCTTGAAATTTACTATAAATGTATCCGATCAGCGGCCGCATACGTGTACACCCGCCGACATTTTAATATGATTGAAAAAGTCCATGAAATAATTGTTTGGTCCATGTACGGTGTATATCTTTACATGATCTACAATGCAATGCTAATGCAACACAAAAAGGTTGAGTTTAATTAGAAGAAACCATGTTCAAATTTTCGCAATGTGTTTACTAGTGTATAACAGTACAAGCAGTTATTTAATTGATAGAATTTCATTCCATGTTCCAAAAATCGGGCTTAGAAATACACAACACAAACTATTCTATGAAAAATACATTAAACTGTTCACCTCATAATAGTATGCATTGCAGAGTGTTACAGATTAGAAGAAAGTCTTATACACATATACAATGCTGGAAAAAAGCATGGAAACTTTTAATAATGTTTATTTTATTAATGCTTGAAGTCAACTAGAACATTTTCAATTTCTATACATTAAGAGACGCCGCAAATATACCTCTTTATTATGCTTAACAACTGTAAAGAAATATTTGTTTGTTTTCTGCGATATTTGTGGTTGGAAATATGTATTGCAACTTTTTATAATTTGTGTTCTAAATAGTTCAATTTTGATTCTACAGTGCAAATATCATTTATAAATAGTTATATATCATGCCCAGTCATTGTTTTCATGAGATTTCAGATTTTAAAAAAAGTATGGTTCTTTGGAGTGATGAGAGCAAATCTTGCCTGCTTGGATCTGATGGTTGATAATGTCTAAGGCCAGTTGTAAAAAAAATTTTTCTCTAGAATAACAAAATTTTCCATGCCTATTTTTGTAGTGTGATATTGAAAATTATTGGATTTTGATCTATTTGTGCTCTAATACATAGCGCCCTCTATTGTAACACTGTACAATTAGCTTGACATACACAACAATCTGTAACCGTAAAATAATTCCAACACCCAAGCCAATCTGTTTCTTTTCTTCATATTCAACATTCTACTACAATTTCCAATTTTTATTTGAATTTTGAAATATAAATCTAAACCAAAACAATTCTTTATAAAATGACCAAATACGGTTTTAAAAAACACGATAATTCTCTAATAATAATGACATAATTTGCAGAAAAAGATATGCTGGTGGTATTAAAGTTTCCAAACTTTTTAATACCACTAATTTGTAAGCATCTGTTGGTGTGTACAGGACAATAAATAGTTAAATACTAAATAAATAAATCGTTGAAAGTATCTAATTTTTACACTTGCCCATAACAGACACTTTGCGCATACCCAACCATTGCATAATTTTAAATAATTTTAAAATACAATCAAAATGCTTACCAGTTCTCTCCTAAGCTGTATAAAAAACTGCCTCCTTTTAAATGATATCTTCATAATTTTCGACCAAGAGAATGTATTAATTTTGACATTATTGTGGAAAATCACAAGTCCTACATGAGTCACCCCCAACATTATGTCTTTATTAGTATTGTCCTAAAAAAAGGCAAAACAATCTTTAGGCACTGGTGAGTATTGGTTAGAAAAATTACTTTTGCCTTGTGCAATTCAACTCCATACATGTCTAGCCTTTTCGCATGATCCAAAAAATTGAACTCGGCATCTGCTGGTGATTGACCTCTGCAATTCAATCGATAATAAACAACCCACAAGGATTAGACCAAAATATTATTTACTTGTGCAATTTGTGAAGTTCAGAAATCTTCTTTTCCATCTCTTCTGTTTGGTTAGGTATAAGCTGCATATTCGACAAATAATTTGGTCCATGTTCTTCGCTGCTATAGTCACCCAATTCGGCTACAAAACAACATTTATTTTTCATCACATTTATTTCGAGTGCATCATAGGTAGGTACATTTTCAAATTTTCTATTTATTATTAGTGTAGTGCCTTTTCGCGGATGTATTACAAACTCAAATACCTCCCTAACTGGTACACATATTTGAATAAAATAGCTGAAATTTGTGATAACTTACATTGTGCTGCATAGCTGGCGAGTAGAATTGCCGTTGATGGAGGCAAAATCAATTTTTTCTCCAAAATATCGCGCCTCAATTGCAAATAGAACTGGTATCTGGTATATTCCTCCTGCAATTTACTTGGATCTGACACATAAAACTTAACCCTAAAGTACAGTGGATGCTGGCAGTTTCCCAGTTGCTTCTTTACCAATTTTGATGTGTCCAACCAGCGCTGAAAATAATAAAACTACAACTTTCAAGATGTAAAATAAATTTCCAAACCTCAGTGCTTACTGACTATCTTACTGGCACTGCAGGAGGTGTTCAATAAGAGTCGGTATCAAATTTTACACCAAAATATGCTGTATTCTGATGGTAATCATCTAAATTTTCATGATAATTAAAAGCCTGGTCAGAAACCTTACTTTAAAATAAATAGTGTGTCTGGGTCTTTATCACTAAATCTGATAAAAGAGTAAAAGCCAGAATGGGAAAAGCTCTTTTATAAAACACAACTGAGATTAGGAACAATGATGGCAAACTTCTAAAAATGTGAATAACAAACCTAAATGTTTATTCTATTATTTCTGACTTACCATGCCTCCAGGATGGGAATCATATTGCCCATTTTCAGAAAACTGAAGCCCAAAATAGTCCTTCTCTACCAGCTCAAGGTGCTGGTACACCTGTTCTAGCAGAACCACTGCTTTGCAGCGTTTCTCAACATGGAAAACATGGTCAGTATCATCGAGAAATCTAACGGTCACACTAAGACCTTTCAGCCTACGTTCCCTTGCTGCAGCCAGCTCTAATGCACGTACATTATAAGTGCCGCTAGAACCACTGAAGGCATGCTTCGATACACCCTCTATCATCCTTCTGTTCCCTTATCTGACCGACCATCATATTCCTATAAAAACCTATAAGATATAGAAGCATTGATATAAACTTATCAGTTATCAATTCAGATAAAAGTGTCAATTCAATGTTTCACATTACCTTCCCAACACAAAAATACTTTTGCAATCACATCATTTTTATTTGGCTTCTCGTAACCGGGAAGATCGTCCGTTTGGAGCACTAGCCAAATGCCAGACCGCCAGACTTGCACCTCTATTGCGGGGATTAAAATTTTGGTAATGCGATAATGGAGAAAATTAAACTAAAGGCAAATAAAATTACAGATGGATTTTTAGAGCTTGTCAAAACGACCGCATTGCATTTTGGGTAGGGCAATTATGTCATATGGGTTGTACAGCGGGATATTTGAATTGGCAATGGGAGTTATTAGTCGAGTGGTTATTTTTTACTTATAAAACACCTTTGGAAAAATACTTTTTTAAGGATCTAAGAAATGATATTGTAAAAAAGATATATTAAACGACAACATGCGTATTTAAAAAAGAACCGTCTTTGAGAAGCCCTTAATAATACCTATAAAAAAGTAAATCTAAAAAATGGAAAGGACCAACTCATAAAATTTCTTAAGGGACATTTAAAACAAAATTAACCGCACATGAAAGATCGAAAGGACAGGATGCTAAACATTGGACACTATTTAAGGGGGGATGACAGCGTTGTCAAGTGTTTAACCGGATTGGCAGCATCAGAGTACAATACCGAATATAATTGAGTTTTCTTTCTGTAGTTGACACAAAAGTACCTAAAAAAAATGTACACGAAAGTTTATAATTTTCTATTGAGAACGTATTACAACTTCATTGTTGGAAGATTAAGGCGAAAATTTATGGATACATCAAAAATATTCCGGAGATAACAGCGAACGGCGTCGTTTGTGACAACCGTGCAAACCAAACAGTTGATTGGAATCTCGACTTGATTAGTTCAACAGTTGGCTGCCAGGTGGAGCGTGCGTAAGTCAAGCGGTTATTTCATTCGCGCTTATGGCGACGACCTAGCGTAGGAAATTGTTGTCTTTAAAAAACCAGTGCCTATCTTGTTGAAACATTAGCATTTTTCTTGTTACGAAATATTTATTACTTTGTTGTTTAGCGTCGTTTTATGTCGAAGTCGCGCGAGCCCCGCCGAAAATGTATCTGGAACGGTGCGTTAGTTGAGAATGTGTTGTGTTTACGTTTTTGAATGGAATTTAAACATACTTGTTGGATTTTTTACGCGGACGTACTATAGTAAGGTAAGTTTATTATTACATTTGCAACCTGGCACGTCGGATTTTTGAGACCGTATAAAAGTTGTATAAAGTTTTAATACTGTTTGGTAATGTTAGGTTAGATGGTAGTGTCAGTGGTTCTCAAAAGTAGCGCAATGAATTATGTACATTGGGACGATTAAAGTCATGAAAACTTACGTGGACTCGAGAAAAAGACAAGCTCGCTTGTACAAAAATAGCTATTTTTATAATCATTAGCAACATTTATTGAAATTAAAGTCCAAATAGTGAGCAAAGACACCTGTTAATTTATGAATTGGGAAAATAAATCATTTTTTTACAAGTGCCGAAAATTACGCCAGCCTATAATTGTTTCTTTCCTTGCAATAAATAAAATAACGCTTGTATCAAAAAAATAGCTATTATTATACTATTAAGCAGAACAATTTTTAGTTACAATGAAGTTCCAGGGAAAGTACTCTCAAGTCATCTAAAACTATTTTCTTATATTGATCATTTTATAGTTTAAATATGGAATAACACTGGTGTCTTTTTATGGTGTCTATTTATAGAAGTTTATTAAGAATTTAGTTAAAGTGTAATTTACCCAGCTGATTTCCTAAATGGTTGTATGAGCCACGTCGATAGAAGATTTCGTCCGGACTGTATAAAACAAATATTAACGTTGTATGTAACGTTGTATGTAACGTTGTTTGGATGTAAACAAAATTAAAGTAAGTAACGGAGAAAATTCAAAATGATCTAATTGTCAACGGGTCCAAATTGGAGTGTTTGTCAAACAATAACTTCAACCCTGTGCTTGCCCATAAAGTTCTAAACATTTTGGGAACCCCTGCACGTCGAGATCGCGTTCTGATACACGTCGTCCGTTTCAAATCTATCGAGGCGATGTTGCAGGCTCGACCAAACTACTTCAGTTTACAAGATGTTTCGTTAACAAGCTAGAGTGTCTTCCTCCAAAACTTGGAGAAAAAATACCAATAATCATTTGTGTTAAATAGACGCTCTGTTTACAGAAGCAAAAAAAGAAACTTGTTTCACTTTGTTGTGAGGTTTAACTTTATAAAATTAAGTAACGTGCCACGTCTCTTTTCCACTGAAGGTGGACGGGAGACCGAAGCAATCCTACTGTACTTTGCTCACTTTGCTACCGATTGGAAGTAGTAAGTATAGGGCCCAAGCAGCTCAGTTTCTCAAAATATGGGCGGAGTATAAAAAAAAGAAATTAAATAAATCAAAGGTTGGAAACCGGGGCGCCAGCTAGGGCAAAACCCCAACCTATACTATAAGTTAGTGATAGTGACTAGTGTCCTGGCTCACTAGCCACCCAACAAACTCACAAAGTTAACAAAGTTCGAAACCCAAATAACCAAAAACCAAATAAATAATTAATAAATAAACCGGCACGTCAGTTTAAATCTCCATATATTGGCTCAAGTACACACTAAGCACAGGAAGCTTGGTTACGATCGATCGTTTACAAATAACTCTTACAAACAAATGTTTCTATAACTGGGTACTTTATCTTTACCTTAACTGAGCTCTTTAATTTATATTGATATTTAAAAATTGAAATTTGTATTTAATATTTGAAATTAACCGAAACGTAAATAGAGGCTTATCTGTGATCCTCCAGTTACCAGCAACGAACGAGTCGGGCAAGCTCTAAGATGGCTGTCCTGTATACTGCCTACGGGTTCACCAGTCAGTGGGATAGGCACGAATGCTTATCACTCTTGGACGAGGAGATATGCACTGCAACGTCCTGAACCGAGCTAACTTGAAGACTTGACGAATTCTTGGGTTGCAGAATTCATAACATGTGCCGTCCAGGATGTAAGGAGGCACCAAATCCAATTGAACCGAAACTAGGGAAGCCAGTACCAAATGGGAAGCCAAAACCAGTCCAACAATCAAAAACTGGTTCCAAAAGGAAAACCAAATCCAAAACCAAAACCAGAACCAGAACCCTACAAAACAAAATAATGAGTTGCGGTGTCCATAATTACTTGCAAAGCGTGAAATAAATTGTGAAACTTACGCCTGATGATCGTGGGTGGCGGTGAAGAGTGCCAGGTGCTAGGTTGTTAGCTTTAATCCAGCCTAAGCTGTAATGTTGGGGACGTCCAAGCAAAATACTACCAACAAAACGACGATCCGCAACTTCTATACGATTTCAATCCGGTTTGATCTTCGAAAACTACGAGATGCCAGAAACTTATTCGGATTGATATCTTGCAACCACTTGCACCGGCGGAAATCGTAGAGCCAAAGAAAGAAAGACCGATGAAGTTTCACAAAATTCCAAAAAAAGAGACCGATGGTGCTGGCAATACGATGTTCGGTTCCGACACCACTAGGGTCAATGGGCCAATAATGACAGAAGTTAATCAACGCAAGGAGGCCGAATATTACCTAACTACTACCCGCTATTACCAATAATAATCAATTATTACACACACATGAATGAGATTACACAGTAACGTCTTAGGAAATCGAAGACGAACGTGGGCCAAAGGTCGAGTGCTTAACTGTACTAATGGCCGAGTGCATTCGCGTTGACAGAGGATTGAAATATAACCTCTCCAAAAGCAACAAGTGTAAATAAATGAATGCAAGGGACAAGAATAGAAATTGCTGTTAGTTCGGAAATAAGAAGGAATACAGGACGATCGTCTCGTGCAATCCAACCGCATTCCGCAGTAACATCCTAAATTGCAGCAAAAAATCAAGGACTTACACTTATTTACATTTATTTTAGGACAGGCAAACCACACCAAGCAATTAAACAGTTACAGTGTGTTCGAACAGAATGAAGTAGTGAAGAATAATTAGCAATACCAGTAGCTTTGACGATTAAGACAGTGTGTAATTGTGAGAATAAAACATTTAATAGGTAGTCTCCGAGCATTATTAACCTACATGTGAGAAACATAAGTCGAAGTAGCCAATGACAAATTGAACCCGTTACACTCCCCCTCTTCTTCGGAAGGAGGTTTCATTTCATAGAAAAGTAAACCGACGACAACCGTAAATCCAATCAGGCCAAACTAGGACGCAATACTCGCAAAACTCAAAACTAGATGTGAACAATGACTCCGCAAGAATCACCAAAACAATACTAGTAAAGAGCCGAAATAAAAAAAAACGACTTTGAAGATTCTCCAATTAAGCGGAAACCGCATGAATCCGACCAGTCCAATGAGACATCTGGGCACACCCAGAAGGGAGCAACATCCAAAGAGTAAAATGACTTACAACTCTTGATGGAAAATGGATGTTAGCCAGCATTGCGTTACCACCAACCAAGACGGGGGAACCTCGTTTACTGGCCTCCTACTGACTGTAACCAAATGCAGCATCAAACCCGCCAAAATCCACTGGCACTCGTACCAATTGAAAATGCTCCAAGGACGGAAAACCAAAGAAAATCCCAACCCCGTTAAAGAAAAATCTGAAGAAAGAAAAAAAAACAAGTAACCCCTATGTTCCACCTATCATAACAGAGTGAACTATAGCGCACACCAAGCTGAAAAATGCTGACGGCATTGAATACAAAAGAGCTACACAAAAAAAAGAAAAGGGTGTTCCCTAAAAGGACACTGACACCAACCTTCCAACATCTCTCACCTAAAGGGGCTGAGGCAAGCCGCAGTAGTGGTACCCAGTTATTTGATGCACATTTATGAACATAAACCGAAGTAATCACCCCCCAACGTTTGGCCTCCCTAAAGGGATTTGGTGGTGAGGAATTTGACAGCACCTGCCATAAAAGGGCCTGTTTATAAACAAAGGTGTACTCTCTAGAACCTAAAGCTATGGCTAAAACTAATTGAAAAGGATCCTCAAGCATCCTGAAGACAGAGAAAATAACATACACCACCAATTAATGAAAACCCTAAAATATCACCACAATAGTATAGAGATGATGTGATCAGAGTTCGCGCTAAGATCAAACCTAATCTCCACTCTAAATGCGATGTTAGAAGCAACAGAAGTAATGCAACTGAGGGTCTACATTACAACTCCACATGAAGGACTTCTACCTCCTACAGGAACCGTAGCGATCGTATTCTTCCTAAATTAGGAAGTAGTGCAATAGCAAGCTCTATTTCGCGCTAGAGCCCACCAAAACTCTACAACCCAACTTCGCCCCAAATCGCACAGCGGATGGCAAAATAAACCGACGATCATTGTAAAGCCATAACAGATACCAAACTGAACAGATATGTATAAACGTCTAAACATTTGACACTACTCGCTATCGTTAGATTGGCAAGGTTTAAGATGAGAAACATGCCAAGTGCCTTTGTCGTTTCCAAACTCATCGACCAAACGGTAGGTCCAGGAACCAAGTTTTTGCTTAACAACAAATGGACCGACGAATTTCG